AGGTTGGGTCCGGTTTTGGGGCCTCCTCTAGCAGAAAGTCGGTCACCCTCGCTTTTCGGCGGCCGCTGTATCGATAGGTCGGCTCGAACTTTAGCAGCTTGGCCCAACTACGTTCTGGATACCGTAGTGCGGCACGCAAGGTCGCTAGATCTGGGTAGCTGTATAGAGAATGGAGGTGGGCGAAATCTGCGAAAGAAGACAACTGTTAGTTCGGCTGAAAGATTGAAAAACCGAAATATAGTAAAGCACGCAAGAAAATAGAAGTAAATATACCGGGTTCTCCTTTTTTCCAGTTTATACGTCGGCCAGGAATCTGGGCTTGATGATCCTCAAAGTTCCTAGACACCCAGAAAAAATCGTCACCGTTTAAGTCTTTATCCGGTGTATATTTTATTATCTTCTCTCGGCGACGGCGTATTCTTAAATAGTAGACCCACCCATCTTCTTTTGAACCAATGGAGTATTGGTGGAAGATTTCGGCCAGACCGAGGTTAAGACCAGCTTGGCGGTTTAGTTCGGTTATTCCCATTATTATACGGTATGAATTGGTGGACAGTTGGGTTGGACATAGTCTGGTTTGCCTAAAAAACTCACAAATCAAGGGTTGGACAGGAAATCGTAATCCGGTTTCAATTATGGACAAGAGGGTGAAGGGGACAAAGCCTTCATTTCCCCAGGGTATGACATCTTTTTCTGCCAGGGTAAGGTGTACATCGTCAGGTATGCCATAATCCCTTCGGAATTTGGCTAGACCACCTGGCGTCTCGACTAGAAACCTATACTTCCCCATTTATTGTATAATTTATGATTAATTAGTTCGGTCCGAAAATTGTGCTCAGTAGCACGGTTGGGCGCGCAGAGGAGTGCCAGGGCAACCTAAGTCTGCAAAGTAGAAAACAAAGGGGTTAAAGCACAGATCATTGAACCGTGCTACAAAATAAAAGTAAAAAATAGGAGCCCTACTTCGGCTATGTGGATGCCACAGTTTCTATCTCGGTTTCTGCAAGGTGATTGGTAGCTCGGCTTGAGCAGAGCTTTTATTAGTTCGGGCTTGGCAAGCATCTAGATATTTCGGTTGTGGAAACGGTTCTGTTTGACCGGTTGATCGCCTAGGGGTAGCTTTCTGAGTTCCGTCTAAAAAACTAAGAAAGCTGGTTTAGTCCCAAAGGCCTAGATTGGTTGGAGTTCAGGTATCTCAGTATGCTAAGTGCAAACTTAGTTCGGTTGGTTACCTCGACTAGGGTCTATCAAGAAGTGGTTTGACTTATTCAAAGCTACTGGTGTAAACATAAAGTGTTAATCCGGTTGTAAGCTGACCAGACCTTTACCTAGCTTAAACAGTATCCTAGTTTGGTTGCATCATGATTTTGGATCAAAAACCAGTTTTCTACAGGATATTTCATATACTCATGTGTTCTATGTTTTGGAAAACTGGAAACCAAGCAAGGTGATACCATTTCAAACTGTTCATTAAATAGATCATCAAATTTAAATTTGGTAAAATAATTTACTTCTGTTACTTTAATCCAACACCAAACTTTTCATCAAATTCAGTATTTCTTAAATCTTTTATTAAATTGAGAATAGATGTACCTTTCATCAAATCACTATTCATTGTCGTTGGATTTTCACTACCGGAATGTCATCCAGATGGCCACCTCAAGATAAAAATTTGTGAAAAAATTATACTGGCCGGTCGATCGAACGGACATTCGTCTGGTTGATTGATGGTTTGATGAATCTTTAAAAACTTCTGTTGGAGTACTGGATATCAAATGGAGCTTTTACTCAAATTTTTATTCAAATATAGTGAAAAAAAAAGATGCACGATTAGAAATGCCTTAATAATTAGAAAAAGATATAATAATTTTACGAGTTTATAGTATTAGGTCATCTCTAATAATTCATCAAATGGGTCGTTTAATTTTAAATTTAATGAAAAAACATATTTTTTTGTTGCTCCAACCCGACACCAAACCTTTCATCAAATTCAAGATTTTTCAAATCTTTCATCAAATTGAGGGCGGATGTACCTTTTATTAAATTAATGTTAATTGCCGTTGTATTTTTATTACCGAATGTTCCTTGGGGCAAAAATTTATAAAAAAATTACACTGACTGATCGACCGATTAGACATCCGCCCAATTGTTCGCCCAATCGACTGATAATTTGATAAAACTTTAAAAACCTTTAACGCTCAAATTTTTACTTAAATTTAATTAAAAAAAAATGCACGGACGCTTAGGGCTTGTTTGATAACAATTTCGTTTTTAGTTTATATTTACAAAAATTTTAAAAACTGTCACAAAAACTTATTTGATATTTTTTTTGGTTTTAGTTGTCTTAGTTTATAAATTTAAAGAAAAAACGTAAACTTAAAAAATGAGTTTACGTTTTCAGTTTTCAATTTTTTTTTTCAAATAAATTTTTTTTTAATTAATTTTTTTTTCAATTATTTTTTTTAATTAATCTTTTTTTTCAATTAATTTTTTTCTCAATTATTTTTTTAATTAGTTTTTTTTGAAATAATTTTTTTCTATTAATTTTTTTAATTAATTTTTTTTTCAAATATTTTTTTTTCAAGTAATTTTTTTCTAATTAATTTTTTTTTCAATTATTTTTTTAATTAATTTTTTTTAATTATAATGTGTGTGATCCCATTCTCATAAATAATAAAAATAAATATAAATATTTTAAGCCTGAACAAACATATTTTTTAGTTTATGTTTTTAAATTTTTTTAAATATTTTGTTCAAACCAAACGCGTTTGTAATTTATGTTTTTCTAAAAATAAACAAAAACCAGTTTATAAAATTTTTGTAAACATAAATAAAAAACGTAAACGTTGCCAAACGCTGTCTAAGTAATCGCCTGGCCCCAAAATAAACAAAATCTTCATGATCAGTAAATTAGGGTCTCAAAATCAAGAACAAACTACATATATTAACAAGTTAGAGATCAAAAGTACCATTTGGATCGAAAATTTCGGCGTAGAGTTTCTTAGTTTTCAACCTCGCGAAGTTTTCGATCCTCCATGTGAAGCTTGTTGACGGCCAATCTGGTGGAGGAGGCGTAGAGAGAGACATGGGGGCAACTGTGATGTGAGTAGCGGTTGGCTCGATCAGTTAGATTTAGAGAGAAAGAGATCACTGTGGAGTATCAGTTGACAGTTGACTATATGTGCGACCTAGAAACTGTGTTGCTTCTAGGTGAATATAAATATTAAAAAAAATTACAAAAATAAAAAATAGTAATCATTATTCTATATTCTTATCTATCTATTAAAATTAGATAGATTATTCGTTTTAAAAAGTAATATTAAATTTATTTTTAAAAATAGGATAAATTTCAAATACATCTCTGAGATTTATTTAAATTACGAATTATACTCTGTAGTTTTAAAAATTACAATATGCCCATTAAAGTTTTTAATTTCATAACAAATAAGTCATTTTATTAATAAATTATTAAATTAATTAACAGTTGTTAATGATGTTAAAATTTTATTTCAATTAATAATTTAGATAATGTTATTATTGTATAGGAGAATAGTTAAAAAATTTATTTTTTTAGTTAATTCTGGTAAATAAAAAATTCTGACAGGGAAGTATTTATAATTTTTCAAACTACAGAAAACAATTCGTATTTTAAACAAATCTCAGAGAGTGTATTTATAATTTAACCTTAAAAATATTGTGTCCATCACGGTCAATACTCGCATCAATACTCGCATTGTCAAAGAGAAACAAAGCCTTATTTGAAAGTTTACTATTTATCTTTTTGATTATTTTAATCCGTTAAAAAAAGTTATTTTTATAAAGTTGGTTAATTTTATTTTTTTTTATAGTTGATTTTATAATTGTGAAAAAATAAATAAAATGATCATAAATTAGATGTGATATTTTATCTTACTAATTATTTTAATTTAATTTATTTTTTAGCTAACTATTTTAATCCAAATCTTTCCAAACACCCTCCCTCAATAATTGATGTTGAAATAAGAGGTATCAACAAATTAATGTAATATAAAAACAAATTTTATCAACAGGATTGTCTTCTTTATTCGAGTACGATAAATTTCCATATTGCTATGCATATCCCATTTTTGCACAGCAAGGTTATGAAAATCCATGAGAAACGGCTGGACGTATTGTATGTGCCAATTGCCATTTAGCTAATAAGCCCATGGATATTTAAGTTTCATACGTGGATATTGAGGTTCCACAAGCAATATTTCTTGATACTGTATTTGAAGCAGTTGTTCGAATTCTTTATGACATGCAATTGAAACAATTTTTGCTAATGGTAAAAAAGGGCTTTGAGACTTTTTTTTTTGTTTTTTACTTTTTAAATAATAGTATTTTTAAACAAATTGAACCTATCAAAGGCGAGATGGTTGATTTTAATCAAAGTGAAAATTTTAAATACAAGATTAAAAACAACTTAGGATTATATATATTCTCAGAAAAAGAAAAATTATATATATCCCTAATAATGCACCACAATAAAAACCATATATCCTAAGGCAAAAATTGGCAAGCACAAAGATTAATATTTAATAAAACACAATTAGCAAACTATTTGTAAAATTGTCATGAAGTTAACATAGAGTACGAACCTGCAAAACCTTCAATTTTGGCACTATCTTACTAATTATTAATATAATAGGAAAACTTTTTCAAATTTATCAGGTGTTACTGCCCCCTCTGGATCCATCATTGCAAGAAAGGATCGTTTTGGTCCACTTGCTAGCATTGGAGCCACATGATTTAATCTTTCTGCAACAACCAGAGTGGTAATAGCAACAACAATCCCCTACAAGCAACCTGCACTGTACATCAAAATGCCCATTCACAACACCAAAGTCTTCAGCATACCCCTCTAAGAAAGCAGCCGTGATTCGGACCCCCAGCTGGGGCACTCCAGTGACCCCCCCCCCCCCCCCCCCCATACATGGCACTCTGCCAGTGGCTGAAACCAAAGAAAATATATATATATATTTTTTTTGGCCAATCAGGAGTGACCCCCCAGTATCCCCACTGGGGGGTCTTAAGCTTTATTCCTAAGAAAGTATAATCAGATCAGACATTGAATCAAGCACTGTACTATCCTAAGGCTATGTTTGGATTTCACACAATACACCCTCCAAGCAAGAAAACAAAATAAGGCCACAACTATTGCCCAAATATAAACACACATTGTATCAAGCATTATACTATCCTTAGACTCTGTTTGGATTTAAGATTTGGGAAATGACAAAAGACCCTCAAAAAAAGAATCGTTTACTCCAAGTGATTTGGGCAAGTCTCTCACTGAAACCTCCACTTCTGCCTTAGCCTTGGCAAGCCCTTCTTTGAGCTCACGAAGCTTAGCTCGAGTATGTTCAATAGTTTTTTCATAGGAATCAATAGAGGCAAGCAACTCCGAGCGTTTGTTCACCATCTTCGCTTGGTCCAGTCTCTGCTTCAGCCAGGACAAGTCCAGCCCGACATGCTCAAAGTCCTTGACAGCCACACACAGTGCTTCCTTATTCACCTCACAGATCCTAGTAGTTGACATCGACTCAATGAATGAAGCAAATGATTCAAGAAACACTGTTTGTACAAGAACACTAGTCATGGAGAATTTGGCAAACGTGCCCTTGTAACGGTTGTGAATCCTTTCAAGTACCAAGGATGCCTCGGGAGAGACCCAGTATGACAAAAATCTGATTTTGCCGGGAGGAGCATTGTCTACCACATTTTTTGAGTTATTCTCCTGTGATGGAGGCTGAGATGACTCCTTGTGGCCCTCCTGCTCAGCTTTGTGGTTTTTAAGTCCCACTGAACCAGTCTCCTTTTTCGAGTCTTGTGAGCAGCGGACGGAAACATCAGCTTCAACTATAACAGTATCATTTACCAAGTAACCTTTACAAGAATCATGTAGTTCGCTAAGAGGCATGAAAGAAGTGAAACCCCAATCAATTTCTCTTTCATTGAAGTGGTGTTGTGTGTCTGTAAAACAAAGAGCATCACAATTAGCACCAGACCAGTAATTCACTACACCTAGGAGAGGTCGGTGGGCGTCCACACATAGGCACTTGCCTGCATGTTAAATCTACAAAGCAGCAAGGAAGCATAAGATACAAGTTTGCACAAATTTCTATCTGTTTAACATTAAGCAAAGTTCCAAACCAAACCAACATTTCAAGCATTTTATTCAATTGAAAGTCTAAGTTTTCCATCAGCAAAACCAACTGTTTTTCTGCTGAAATTACCCCATACTCCCCCACCACCCTTGGGTAATCATGAATAAAGAACATATTTTGAACTTAAAACTTTAAAAAACCACATAAATATGAACTTAAACTTCCAATGCCATAAAAACAAGGTCTTCCAGCAAAATTTGCCCAAAGCGCAAACTCCATTCCCTCATAGAGAGAGAGAGAGAGGGGGGGAGAGTTGTCATCTAGTGACTACAATGCAACAGCATCATGGACAAAAAAGAACATAGCATTGAGCTTATACATTCGAAGAACAAATAAATAATGTTTTCACCCCATAGGAGTTTTATGCCTCTTCAACTGATACAGAGTGAATTTGTAAAACAAGAAACCTTGGAAATAAGATCAATTGTGCAACTCAACAAAGATAGATTAAAAAAATCACCGTAGAGACATAGTGGCAAAAACAATACTACGGAGGGAGCTGAAATGGATAGGAAATCAACCAGTGTCATGAACTTGGGATGAACAAAATTTAGTGGGAATTTATAAGTGTCATCTACCTCTAATCAATGCAATGCCTTTATGACACCTTGATGCCAAAGACCCTTTCATGGATGGGTTAAACATTGCTTGTGCCATACTATGCAACATGCTCTCTTAGTCTTCCACTTGTAGATTTAATTTTACACTAGGCAGTAAACCAACAATTGTCACCAAGGATCCTCTAGAGTGAAATTTCCCTAAAGTTTCCTAAAGTGCTACAGTGTATGGTTGAGATTTATTGGCAAGTCACATCAATTTTTCTGATGTGACTTGCCAATAAATCTCAAATAAAAAATTAGAATCTCATTGGCAGATTTATATAATTTAAAAGGGTCCAGCTTGTCTCAAGTTAAGATCAAGACTGGAACCATCCAGTTCGGCCCATGGGGCCCTTTTTTGGGCCCATTTTGATAATCCGAACCGTTCAATGTGTAGAAATCGTCGAGTACTACATGCCTGTAAAAAATCACGTTGATCGGATATCAATAGCTATGTGATCAAATCAGTTTTGTATAAAAAAAAATGGACTGTAAAACAATTAACAGATGATACAAAACTATTTTGTTCAGATAGCTATCGATATCCGATCAACGTGATTTTTTACAGGCATATAGTACTCGACAAGTTCTACCCATTGAACGGTTCAGATTATCAAAACGGGACCCGTGGTGGCCCCCACGGGCCCAACAGCATGCCAATTTAAAAATCCTCATGTGCATGTACTCAAATACATGTATCAGACTGGGTAGTGACCAAGCATTGGAATTAGGGATGGGCGCGGATCGGTTGCGGCCATGAAACCTTTAATCGGTCATCCGTCCGCTAGATTGGCGGATTGGAGAAAATCTATCCGCATCCGTCCGCCAATCCAGCGGATGTGGATTGAGCGGATTGGCGGTTTGACGGATGGATGCGAATCGGTTTGGCGGTTTAAGATTTTATAAATTTTCAACAAAATTCAACTTGTGCACTTCCTCAAAAAAAAAATAATAAAAATATTACTGTCAATGACTTAAAAAACTATTACAATCATTGTATATCTCATCCAAAAAAAGAAAGTTTGAAATTTTAGAATATCACAATCACTGCATGGCTCATGCACATATTACAATCACAGTATGATTCATCCACATAAAGTATTACAATCTGTGATTCTTAAAATATAATAACAATTCAAACCACCAAAACCATGAACAGGGCAATAATATATCTCTGTATTGTTACATTTATATATGTTTTTAAAAACAAAAATCAACCAGCATATATCATATTTTCTATTTATTATTTTTAGAGTTAAATTTAAAAATCAAAAAATATAGATAAATAATACGTTTATTTTTTTCAATTCAAAAAATATATTCAAGTTGAAATTTTTTTTTCAATAGAATATTTAAACTCTTTTTCAATTGAAAACACAAACAAAATATTTAAATAAATTGAAAACATAAAGCCTTGTAAATTATTAGAGGTGCTCGCGGTTTGGCGGTTCGGTTGCGGCCAAAGGAATCTCAAATCCGCCATCCGTCCGCCAAATTGGCGGATTGGAGAAAATCAATCCGCAACCGTCCGCTCGTCATCATGCATCCGTTCAAAATGCGGCAGATCGGTTCGGTTCGGTCGATTTTGACGGATCGGTATATCCGCTGCTCACCCCTAATTGAAATTATCCAATCTCAAGCTCAAAGGACACAGGAACATGACTAGACATATATATATTATGAGAACTACTTCAAACTGAACATTTAACTAAACACATAGGTGGTGTTTGGGAACTGGGCCCGTTTGTTTTGGGAGATAGAATGGAGGAGATTGATAGTGAGGGAATTAATAGTGAGGGGATTGATAGTGAGGGGATTAATAGTGAGAAATTGTTAAATTATTTTTATATAAAATAATAAAACAAATAAAAAAAAATAAACATTATATTTTAAAAAAAATTCCCAATATATAAAAAATAAAAAAAATTCTAATCCCCTCACTATTTTTCTAATACCATCTCTACCTCCTCCTTACCAATCTCCCTTCCTCCTCCTTACTAATACCAAGGGATTACTAATCCCCTCCCATCTCCCAAAACAAACACTTCATTTTCAATCCCCTCCTCACTATCAAACCCAATCCCCTCCACAACTCCAAACAAACGGGGGCGTGGGAGTACAGGCTATTTTAGCGTCAAGTTTTATTTTAGCCTTTTAGCCTTGAACAGTAGGTGAAACATTGATTTATATTTAAAATAAATAAATAAATAAATTGTAGCTCTGCAGCCTACATTCATCAAACACTGCAGCCTACCACTGTCACCATTCTGACTGTCCCACTGGAGTAAATTACACTTTTGCCCCTTTACATCAATTTTGAAAAAAAGTAAAATTAGGGACAAATTTGTCATTTTAATTTCAAATATCATTTCAACACATTTTTTAATACACCAACTCAAATAAAAATCCATCCCATCTTTCCAAACACAAAAACTAAAATAGCCAACTAAAATAGCCAAAAAGTTTAAAAACTTATAAAATAGTCACTTCCCAAACACCCACATAGTAAGTACCATACAACAAGGGCAACAATCACAACTTCATTCACCCCTAATGGAGTTGAACTCAAGTCCTAAACTACCCAAGTAGTGATAACATTGGTACTGTTTGGTGTACCTGTTAAAACAGATTATAAATTATAGATTATAGCTTAACAGATTATAGATTATAACTTTAATCAGAAGCTGTTAATCTGTCTGGTATAGCTGCTGAATTATAGATTTAAGTTGCTGAATAATGTTTGTTAAATAAGCTGTGAAGTGGCTTTTTCAATTAATTTTTATTTTTATTATTCACTATTTGTCTACATTTTTCATAAAAAATAATAATAATATTTAATAGTCCATTTGGGTCTTTTTTTATTTTTAAAAAAATAAAAAATAAAAAAATCTAAGAGTATAACCGTAAATTAACATGTCCACAGCAGAAACTGATAATCAGAAGCAAGGGGTGAGCAACTTCTCAGAATCAACTTTTTTGACTTAAAATAAGTTGTTAGAATCAGAAGCTGTTTAAAATAAGTTTAACCAAACAGTCCAAAATAACTTTTTAAAAGTTAGAAACCATAAGGGGTTGGTTTGGCAAGGGCTCATTGAGCTTTTTTGGCTCAATGAGCCATAAAAGACAGAATAGGCTCATGAGCCACAACAGACAAAACATCCAATCCAACCCCATAATCATTACACTCTTCTCTCACAAAAAAATCAAAAAAGCCAAAAAGCCAAAAGCCCTTCCCAAACTAAGCTTTTGAGCCCAGGCTCATATAGTCAAGAAAACCAAAAAACCAAAAAGCCAACCCACTTCCCAAACGGAGGCTTAAAAAAATTCTACCAAACACCCCCATTATGTCATTGAACTACAAACGTATCAGCAACAACTATTACTTGGTAAAGACGTGCTATCAATATTTGATGTGTTTCACCATAGATATTACATATACCAAAAACCGAGGTCATTCAATAAGCCTCCGTTTGGGAAGTAGGTTGGCTTTTTGGCTTTTTGGCTTTTTTGGCTATTTTAGCCTGGGCTAAAAAGTTTGGTTTGGGAAGGACTTTTTTGCTTTTCGGCTTTTTTGACTTTTTTTTGTGAGAGAAGAGTGTAATGATTATGAGTTGAATGTGATGTTTTGTTTGTTGTGGCTAAAATAGCCTATTTTGTCTTTCATGGCTATTTTAGCCCCAACCTTCCTTGCCAAACGGAGCCTTCATGGGCAGGATACTTTAAAAAAAGGGTAAATTATACTGAATTTTGGAGAAAATGCAAGTAGCCCCACAATTTGATATAACTACATTAACTACTTTTTTAGTAAAGTTAAAGTGATCAAAATTAATACAAATAAAGTGAAAATACAGAGATAAAATAGATGACAACATCAATTTCTATCGACATGACTAACGAATTAGCGATAAAAAGGGATAATAGTTATGTGAATTAAAATCTTAAAAGAGTATAATGTAATTATGTCAAAACTGTAAAACTTGCTATATTTTTTTCCAAATCTCTAAGGAGGTCAATATAATTAACCCTAAAAAAAAGTTTCAAAATTATGTTTGACAAATCAAATGGTTAATATTTTTCATAGCTGAATTTTTTAAGAATAATGTGTTTGGGCAATCTCCAACCAGCTTGGTATATAATGTCCGTTAGTTAAAATGCCTACTATAATTTTTTTTTTTCAACTCTAATGCACTAAGAATAATAATTTTTTAGATAGGTAAAATGGCTAATAGCATGACAATACATGACAGTACACTTTTATTAAAAACGACAACAAAACAGAACCCAGAATTAGTTTAATGTATAAACACCACAAAAGCTTACATTTCCAGATAGTAGACTTGTCATGGATTTGATTGATCACACCTATGCTGAATTGGGCGAATTTACTCCATTGATGGGGCAACGATTTCGAATCCGCAACATCCAGATAGATCGACAAATGCTCGACGTTGTTCCCCTTTGGGAACACAAGTACTCGCCTGTTCTCAACGCATCAATACAAACAAATATATATACATATAAGTAGTGTTTTAAAGATTGATCTGTAAATTGAGATCCAAATTAAGTTCACTGATCTAAGAAGAAGAATTTAGGGATCAAACTAGTACCATTTGTATCCTTCAATAGTGAAAATTTCGGAGTAGTGCTTCTTAGTATTCAACCTTGAAAAATTTTCAATTTTCCATGTGAACCGCGTTGTTGTACAGTCATTGACTGTGGTAGCAGTTTGTGATGGTGGAGACTTCGCGAGAGACATCGATGGAGGTGACTGACCGAACGATCGGCGAATCGGAGAGAGAGAGAGAGGGATTCTGCAAATCTACGCGATCGAGAGAATAAACTCACACTGCGTTTGGATTGTATACCGATTGAGAGAAAAACGAGAGAAACGAGGAAGGAGTGTGGAGTTGGAATTGTCTTTTAGAACCCTGATTTGAGCGTGTAATTGTGTTTTGAGTAATGAGACTTGAAAGGAAAAAGTTCATTGGTTCGTTTGGAAAGTGACTTGGTTTTTTTTTTTTTTTTTTAAGTTTAAGATTAAAAAGTTTGGTTTAAAAAGAGTTTTTAATTTTTTTAATTTTTTTGATTTTTTGTAAAAAAAACAATATAATGATTATGGATTGGATGTGATATTTTATCTCATAAACTCCAATCACACTCTCTACTTTTCACTATCTAAAGTACAAAAAAAATACACTCTTTTTTTTACTTAATTACTTTAGCTATTGTGTTCTCCAACCACGCTTTTTATTTTAGTTAATCATTTAAACTAACTTAACTAACTTTTAAAATAAAAAAAATACTAATTGTTAATATTTTACTAATATAAATTTGCAATAATAATAAATTTGCTCATACAAACATACAAAACCTGTAGAATGAGGAGAAAAAAAAAAATACAAAATACAAAATAAGTTATTCCGTAATTCATCA